TTCCCTGAAACAGCAAATCCATCAAGGAAACACTCTTCTCTTGCTCCTTCCCTCTCATTGTGTCCTCCACTTTTCTTTTTCCATCTCCAAATCTGAGTCCACATCAGAATGTGAACACCAAGCACAAGATTCACAGACGAAATCTAAAAATAGAAAAAACCCAACAACAACAAAAGTTCAAATTTTTTCTGCAATTAAAGTTAAATTAAACTCAATCTCTGTCATTAATCAGCAATGAAGGATGAGGATGGCCTTCCAACGTCGACGACGGCCAGCGCGAAGAAGGAGAGCTCGGATTCGAGTGTAGTACTCGGGAAAGGCAGGTACAAGTTTTGGGCTTTGGCTGCGATTTTGTTGCTCGCGTTTTGGTCCATGTTCACCGGCACCGTCACGCTCCGGTGGTCCGCCGGCAACCTCAATCGGCTCTCCGACGACCTAGACTCTCCTATTCACGACGATCTCGATGTCCTTGTCAGTCCCCTTATGCATTTTTGTTGCTTGTTTTTGTTTTCTGGGTTGGTTTTGTTGGATCTCTGATTTGATGGGTTATTGGGGATTTTGGGAATTGTTGTGTGTAGGAAATGGAGGAGAGGGAGAAGGTGGTGAAGCACATGTGGGATGTGTACACTAACAGCCGTCGGATCAGACTGCCCAGGTTCTGGCAAGAGGCATTTGAGGCTGCCTATGAGGAGTTAACCAGTGACGTCCCTGGTTTTCGAGAAGAAGCCATAACCGAGATCGCTAAAATGTCCGTCCGCTCTGTCGATCTCGATCCGCCTCCTGTACAATCTGCAGTGAGTCCCCTTTCTTTTGTGTTTTTTGTTTGATTACTCAAGCACATTGTTTACGGCTGATTTGCTCTTTGTTAAGCAGGCTACACTGCTCATTACCTGTAGACTGCATTGCTCTTCTAAATAGTGAAATGGGTTAGTTTAGCTTGGGGACTTCGGTACTTTGATTGGGAAGTGTATTAAGGAAATGGGTTGTTTTGTTGTTCATTAATTAACCTGTTTATGATTACCCAGGAAGCAATATAGCATCACTAGTGCAACGTTTCTTTGCTTTCATTGTTATGAAGCTTGGGTGGGGTTGGAGTTGGAATTCTCATGCAAGTTATTACTTGAGGTTGACATTATAATCCATTCAAGTAGGATGATAAGCTTATGCTACATAATCTGCTCTTTTTTTCTTGCTTTTTATATCACTAGGGTAAGAGAAGAATGCTGTTTTACCTTTAGTTTTATTATTTTCATTGATCTTGTATTGTTTAATTCCTTTGGAGATAGCTTAAATTCTGATCCCTACCCTATCCTAATATAGTTTTTCTGGCAATCTATACCATCGTTTGCCTCCTCATATTAGTATTAGATATCTAAGTGGCAGTCTGGCAGATATGAAGTTTTAAGACTATGATGTAATAATGGAAAGTAAATATGGGTTATCTTCAGACATACCTGGCGTTAGCATCTTAGCATCTAGATGATGGTCCTCTGTTTACCTGTTGTAATGACTCTAAATCACAGAACTTGATCACCTGGTTCGATTGAGATCCTGGTGAATGTCCGAATCCAATGCAAATCTGTCATTGCTCAGCTTTACATTGTATAAGGTGCAGAAACTCAGGCCATGACAAGTGACAACCTAAACTTCTGGCCAATTTGGACTTGGTATTTCAGTAACCATTTTGCTTACGGCATTTGGGTTGCTGAGTGGGTTAAGAAGACTTAGTTGTCACGCCAGATTGTCAGGTGACCAAAGACAAAAGCTATTTGCCAATACTTGCATTTCACCCTTTTTATAAGAATTAACTGAATTCATTTTGCACGTCAAACTGAGAGGCAATGGATAGAGTTGGAAAAGGTGACAGCCTGGAAATTATATTGTTGGATCCATATCTGTACATTCCATTATTTTCCTCTGTTGTAGTAAGTTGAGATTCAGTCACTTCAAGTTGACTTCATGTTGTGTATGTTTGGATGAGATGATGTCTTCCACAAAATATGAGTGATTATACATTCTTGCAGACTGCTTAAGTGATGGGCAAACCATCACAAAGCCAACTCATGCCCAGTGTGTCGTTCAAAAGGGAAAAAGAAAGAGATTATTGTGTTCAGTTTTCTTGTTTGGTAATTTGTTGTGCTGGGCATTCCTTTGGTGCTGCTGCTTTGTCTGTTTAGTGTTTGCACTATGTAATTCCAAAACTAAAACTACAAATTAAGGTCTTGTGCACGGGACTCTTGGAAATAATTCATGCTGAAAACCAGAGGATTTTCCTTGGGATTTTAAAGAATTTATGACAATCTTTTGACCCCCTGATCACTATGGCATTAAACAGAACAGCATCGGTTTAGTCAACTAGCCTCCTAGGGAACAAATTAGACCTGGAATGTAAAACTGATGCTTTATACTAGTTCAACACATGGTTTTCTATTATGTAATGCTGAAATTTGAAGCATAGTAAGCAAGCATCACATAGTGTTTCACTGGTTGAATTTTGATTGATGTCGTCCTCTAACCCGATCTTTTATCCTAAGATGAAGGCAGGTTGTAATTTCTGGTATAAACTGAAAATGTATGCGTGTGATGCCCACCACAACGGCAGATGTTCCAGTAATTTTAGTATCAATTAATATGTCCGTCTTTTGAAAACCACGTACAGTTGTTTGGTTGATCAGGATCTTAGTAATTGAACCATACCCCACTGATCTTGACTCTTGGCACATCTTGATCTTGAGTCTTGAGTCTTGACTAAGAAATGATTTCCTTGTATGTGTATTGATGATTAAAGAAAAGCCTTGCTATTTGGTTTCTGAATATCTGTAGATCTTTTCCTAGATGCCTAGCTTTGTGTGTAAATATGCATTATACTTTTTTAACAAGTTCTGTTCTTTGTACCAGAGTGCACGGGAGTTTAGTAAGACTCTGAAGCAGGCAGACAAAGGTAGAGAACTGGCGACCTCGACAGGGAGCGGTCGATGATGTCTAGAATGTTGAGGACCATGGTTCAAGCCTCCATTTTCCTGCAATTACAACTGTGTGCTGGCCAGAGTTTGTGAGTGATACTGAGGTGCACAGTCATACTCGGTTCTTCTTCTTCTTCATATGTTTTCATAGGGCAAAACTATGTATTTGATTAGGTTCTCCATTTTTGGATATCACAGTCTTGCCATGTGTGCGGTAAACTGAAAGAACATGTGGAGTAGATGAGTTAAAAGTGCAGGAATTTTGTTTGATATTATTTTCTATGAATTCAATTGAAAGAAATTTCTGAAGCCTCACCTTCAAGTTTCTAATTTTAGTTCTTTACAGCAAGTAAAATCCTAGTACTAAATATTCATATCACTCCATTTTCAGTTAGTTCCTGTTCTTATGTTCTTTTTCCTGTCAAATAGAAAACTTGTGACTTGGACAAATTGAGTGAATCCAAGTCAAGACAAAGTTTCATACTGGTGTGGTGTATGTGAATGTCTGTTAACCCTAAGTCAGTGGATTTCTGGTATTAGCTATAAATTCACAGGAGTATATTCAAACTATTAAGCAATTGTCGACAAAGCAATGTAGTTTCTACCAATTAAGGGTAATTAGAACTTGGATGTAGGACCAATTAAGGGTAATTCGAACTTGAATGTAAGGAAATGAGCTCAATGTTTTGATCAGTCTAATTCATGTCTAAAGTATTTTTTTTAAATGTGTAATTTGCATCTGGTATCAAACAAGAACTTCTGTAATCCAACTCACAAATAAAACAAATTCAGTGAGTTAATAAAACATTAAAGTTAATCTCCCTAATCTATCTTTCTTTTTTGTTTATAAAGAAAAAGAAAAAGATAAATAACATATATGGTATAGTCGTATGGGAGTCGATCCCCAAACTAACGGACCATCCTGAAGAAGAGAGAGCGACGGACTCTGGGCTCTCTCTCAGTCTCAGCCTAGCCGCCGCAACAATCAACACCAATCTCTCAAACACACAGAGAAATGAGGTGCCCGTACTGCTTGGCCGGGCAAGGCCGGTGCGCGACGACAACAAACTCCCGTCGTTCGATAACGGAGTGCACGTCGTGTGGCCGTGTGGTGGAAGAGCGCCAATCCCAATTCCACTGCCTCTTCCACCTTCGCGCCCAAGACAACCCTCTCTGCCTCGTCACCTCCGACCTCCCCACCCTCCACCACCAGGCCCAACCCAACAACGCCGCCGCCGCCGACGACGACCCGTTCGAGCCCACCGGATTCATCACCGCCTTCTCATCCCCGTCGTCTTCCACCGTTGTGGTCGATAATCTCAGGGCCTACATGCAAATCATCGATGTCGCTTCGATCCTGGGCTTGGAATACGACATCTCAGACCACGCGTTTCAGCTCTTCAGGGACTGTTGCTCCACTACTTGCTTGAGGAATCGCAGTGTTGAAGCTCTCGCTACTGCTGCTCTTGTGCAGGCCATCAGAGAAGCCCAAGAGCCCAGAACCCTCCAGGTACATACATACATACATACACTGATTAAAGCTAATCGGCTTACTTCTAAGTTTTCACCTTTTCAGTTATAATGCTAATTGGGTTTGTAATTGTATTTCTTGTAAGTTAATTTCTGATTAAAAAGTGTGGATTTTGATGATGGGTATTGTGGAAGTGAAGTGATTAACCTATTGGGTTGTGAGTTTTGTGGCTGTTCTTTCCAGTTTCTGGAGCTTCTGTGACTTGGCATTTGGTTTTGTATTGCAGGAAATCTCAATTGCAGCCAATGTGCCCCAAAAGGAAATTGGTAAGTACATCAAGATACTTGGAGAAGCACTGCAACTTAGTCAGCCCATCAACAGCAACTCCATATCTGTCCATATGCCGCGGTTTTGCACTCTCCTCCAGCTCAATAAATCTGCTCAGGTACCTTTTTTTTTTGTTGCAGAGTGCACTACTTGAACTACTCATTACATTAACATACTTAGATCAAGTCTTTTGCCTGCATAAGCCTGATGATGTACAATCAGATGATTATTAAAAGGAAAGAAATATGGCGTGGGATTTGCAATCCAAAATTCTTTAGGGAAATCCTATTAATTAGGACTAAGAAAGGTTTCAAACTAGAATTAGGAGTTGGGGAACTGTGAACCCAAATAGACATAGAGTTAAAAGTTGTGGAAAGTTTATCTCACAAGAACTGGTGAAAGCAATTTTTGGTAGATTCTATCATTTTGATCTTCCAGTTTCCATGTAATTGAAACCCAAATAGAGGCACATTTTTAAGGAACCCTGCTAATGACATTTTAGTTTCTTAACCACCATCACAATTCACAATGTGTCTGATGAGTTTCTTATTTGTGTCATTGGCATCTTGCAATATCTTCAATATTTAGACTATGGAATGCGGTTTATGTAATCGTTTACTCACAGGAGTTTCCTTTAGTGACTTAAATTGTCGTGTTCTTTGCTGACGGTATTGAACTTGAATTTTCCTCCTGATCAAGTCTGACCATGATTCACATACTTTTCAAGTCTGACCATGATTCACATACTTTCTTGTAGAAACTGGCAACTCACATTGGAGAGGTTGTCATAAACAAATGCTTCTGCACTCGTAGGAACCCCATTAGCATCTCCGCAGCTGCAATATATTTAGCCTGCCAGCTTGAAGACAAGCGAAAAACTCAGGCAGAGATTTGTAAGGTGACTGGTCTTACTGAAGTCACTCTCCGGAAAGTTTACAAGGAGCTGTTGGAGAATTGGGATGACTTGCTCCCATCTAATTATACTCCAGCCGTTCCTCCAGAAAGAGCATTCCCAACCACTGTAATCGCTTCAGGCCGTTCTTCAACATCTAAAGTTGATTTAGTTGAAATACCAGTTTATTTGGAGAGAGAGAAGCTGCCTGAAATAAAACCTAACAAACCAAATGAGGGATTAGACATGAATGTTCCGGCCATAGGTAAAGAGGAGTTTGAGTTTAAAGGTAATTCTCGAGGTGCGCAAACCACTGTTTTGAATCAATCAACAACTTTCTGGCAACAGCAGGTTCCATATGGTACTTCTGGTTTAAGGACAGCAGGAAAGAACTCTCATAATGGCACTGAAGGAATTGACATCGATGAGCCGCAACGTAACCAGCAGCCTAACCAACAGTTTGAGCAGAAGATGGGTATGGACTCAAACAGTCTTACTAGTACACGAAAGCCAACTCAAATTTTGACCCCCCCAGCTTCAGGTGCATGCTCAGTTACCAGGCAGTTTCGGTGCCCTCCACCGTCATCAGGTTCTTCTCCAAATGTTTTGTATGTGCTGCCTCCAAACCTGGCACCAGGTTATACTGAACTTAGAGGTGGCGGGAGTCAAAATGTAAGTGAAAATGCCAAACAGAGTGGGGATGCCTAGTGGTATGACTTTTGTATATAGAGACCTTACAAAATGTATCTTCCTTGTCACTACCGATGTATTTCTTCTGTGTTTTGGTGACAAATGCGTAGCCTAGTTACTCGTTTCAGGTTTGAACACAGTTTGATTATTTTTTGGGTTATAGGAGTTGTAGAATTACAGAATTCACCGATGTATTTCTTCTGTATTTTGGTGACAAATGCGTAGCCTAGTTACTTGTTTAAGGTTTGAACACAGTTTGATTATTTTTTGGGTTATAGGAGTTGTAGAATTACATAATTCATTGGGGAGGGAGAATCGAACGTATCGAACCTAAAAAATTAGAACTTTGAGTGCATACGTAAATACTCTCAACATTGAGCTACAAATTGCATTTTATTTTTCCTTTTTGTGTGTGTTTGGTTTCAGTCCCAACAACAAATCCACAGTTTCCATCCGGTAACGTTTTCTTAGAATATTTTCAAAGAATGAAAACAAGAAAATGAATTTGCATTTTTAGGAAATGAAAATGCTTCTGGTAGATTAATTAGAAAACATCTTCAGAAAACAAAAACAATGAAAACGTGTCTGGTAGTACAATTTGAAATAATAATATGTGAGTTCTTTTTATGAAAATGTTTCCCATAAGAATGGAAACAACTTTTTTCTGTTTTCTACAAGTACACATGAATTTGTTTTCATTTTATAAAAACATTCTCAGTGTTTTCTGTTTTTGGGCTACCGAACATGTTTTTGCCTCTTTTTTTTTTTCTGAAAATGAAAACAACCTTTTAAAACATTACCGAACGGGGCATTACATTTTTTATTTTCATCCCTCCCTTTCAATGTAAACAAGAAAGAAAAAAAAGAAAAAGATATATTTATGTATAGAAGGGAAAAAGTGAGGTTCATGGTATACCACGGGACAAACCAGCTAAATGAGCAAAGAAAGCATGTCGTAAATAAAATAGACGGTAAAACAGAAGGCAGCGTCGCAGTTACGACATGCAACGTAAGTCGTCCGTCAGGAACAATCGTGGCAATCACGTAATTTAGTCAAATCGTATAGGCATATCTATAACCACCCCGATATTTCCACAACAGTGACGTGTCTTTCATGCGAAGCCGAAATCTTCTCTCTCTCTCTTTCTCACTCTATCTCCCCATACAAACAAACACAACAAACCACAATCTTAACCTTCCATTCGTACATGTCACCGATCCGCGCCTTGTATATCCAACGATCTGAAATCCTTCAATAATTCACACAGCCTAAACCATACGGATAGGTTCAGCCCCCCGAACCCTAACCACGGAACCCGAAGACTTACGAGCCCCCTCTAGAGGTTTATCCCGATTCACACACTCGCCCAATACCAATAGGAGAGAGAGAGAGGGAAGAGAGAGAAAGAGAGAGGAATTCCAATTTCATTTTAGGTCC